CTGCGATGAGCTTCTCTCCTGTCGACGGCGCCTTGCCCTCGAGAAAAAGCCGATCGAAGTAGCAGGTCACGTGCGCGTCCAGCTCCGCCGGGCGCAGGCTGAGGTCCACGACGCTCTGCTTCGTCTGGAAATTCGAGAGCAGTCGCTTGTACTGACCTCGGGTCTTCAGCGTCAGCGAGGCCTCCTCGGTGATACCGGGGCCCTCTGTCGTGTCCCGCAGCTTCCCGTGGGTGGCCAGTCGCCTCGCGGCTCGCCTCTGCTGCAACTTCAGCTCCTTCTCGCGCTCGGCCTCTTTGAGTTCCAGCAGGCCCAGGATCGGATGACCCGGAGCTCGATGGTTGGCCCCGACCAAGCTCGACACGTTCAGGCCGGTCTTCTGCTGCTTGCCCTCCTGCGTCTCGCTCGGCCTGCTGGGCACCCTCGGCCGGCTGGTCGCCTGCTGGCTCTGATATGTCCTGCTCTTCGAGCGAAGATGATTCGGCCGCCAAACTGGCGCTGACTGCATTGCTCTTCGTAGATGGCTCTCGCTTGCGGGAGGGTCCATCGGCAGAATTAAGTTCGGAAGGTATCCATCGACATACGAATCTGGATCGAGTGGCTAGAGCCCACGCTGCGGCCTTACGGTGAAGCATGAGAAGACGTGGGTCTCCACACCTGCCCTTGGAGAGAGACAGGATGAGCCCAATATTATCTCCCAATATCAACCACGAACGACCCCAATCTTTTGGATCCTGCACGGCCTGACGAATAGCTCCCAAGAAACCTCGCATCTCGGTGACATGTATCGACTCATACGTGAAGACGGATTGGAATCGCTCGACGGACCACGACGTAGCCTCTACCACGTTCGCGGGCACCTCGGGGAACTCCCTATTAACGTAGACGTTGCTGAAATCGACCTCCTTATCTTCCCAGACTCCAGCCCCGAGCACCGAGACGTCCTTCAACGCGTTGGCGCGCGGGTTGAACCCTGCTGGGTCCTCGTCGTTCTTGAACCGCCATCTCTCATGCCACCTACCTACAGACTGTACATCTCCCACCGTCCAAGCCCCCCTTACTGTAGCGCGCCCAGACTCACATGCATCATACGCTAGGACCTCCTGGGACCATTTTGGATCCAGGTCCCGAGAGGCAAAAATCAGAAGCCCTTGGATCGAGCGGAGCTCGCGGAAAACGCTTTTCCAAAGGATCCTGGGCTCCTTAAAACTCCCTCGGGCAAAGTCATAGCTAGCACGCAGACAACTGAGGAGTTCACGTTTTAGCAAGGCAACGAAAGTGAAATGGCCAATCAGCCGTTCGAGCTGGCGGCTGGTCATCGGCGGCCGCCGGCGATGGATCCACTCCAGCGCCTTCCAGAGCCTCCAGTACCGCTTGGCCGCAATGGCCACGCGGCAAGGCTGCCCCTGCTGCACGACGCCCAGCATCTCCATGCTCTCGGCTGCGTCCGACTCGTCATGGGTGGCGTAGCCCGCCGCCTGCAGCGCCTCACACGCCACTCGGCGCAGCCGCGTCACCTCGTCCTTGTCGTGGCCCTCGATCAGCACGTTGTCCACGTAGACCGCGTGCAGCGCGCCCTCCTCGGGCAGGGGCGGTGGCCGGAAATCGATCGCCCGACGTCGTGGCCCCAGCTCGGGTACTCCATCGAGCACGTGTTCGTGAATGCGCTGAACGATGTATAGTGCCCACTTCCAGCCCATGGGAACCACATTCATCAGAGGATAGAGCATGGTGTCCCCAGCCAGGTACTGCCCATCCAACTGTGCGATGCCGACCTCACTCGCCTTCGCAGCGTCCATCCCAAAGTAGGGCTGCAGCCAGGCTGGCATACGGTGCTGGTAGAACGCGTTCTGGACGTCTCCCCCTGCAAAGAAAAGTTGACGACCTTCTGGGACCTCCACCTCGGCGAAGCTGCTGCCGGAGAAGAGGTGCACCTTGGGTGCGTCCACGAAGTGTTGGTTGCTGCGACGGCAGTACACCACAATGCGGATCTTGTCGTCCTTCTTCTTGACGAAGATTATCTTGATGGCCTCCTTCCGACGACGCGCCAGGCGGAAGATCCCGCGGGCGAAGCCGTCCTGGATGAAGCCAATGTAGGCGCTGCGGTCCTCCTTCAAAATGGTATCGCCATGCGGTGTCGGCAGGCCCTCGTCCTGCCTCGCCTGCTGCACCTCGCGCGGCTGCCGCAGCCACACGTCGCGCTGGCCCTCTGTCAAGTACTGGAGCATGTCCAGCGACGCGTTGGTGGCCAGGGGCACGCGCGCGTTACCTTTGGCCGGCCAGCTGACCAAGTCGCGCGAGTAGGGCCGAACGGGGGAAGTCTCGCCACCATCAGTGTAGGTCGAGGGCGCGCTCCCGAGAAGCTCGTCGAAGGCTTCCTTCGGAGTAAACGACTTCCCTGGCGCGGGGGCGCGGGCCGAGTGCAGCGCCCGCGCATCGCTGTAGATCACGGCGGAGGGGCCACTCAAGTCGGCGACGGACTCCACATCGGGCGTCTGAAGACCTGCCAGGCGGTTGATCGCGCGAATGGTGTCGCACGTGGCCTCCTGAATCTTCAATCGTCGACGAACTCTCTGCTCAGTGCCCCTCGACAATCGCTTGCTCCCATTGTCGTGCTGCTCTACCCGTGGGCGCGCGAGGGGGGGAAAACCACCCCCCTCCCCAGCGGCGGCGCCCCGACGATGAATTGACCCCTTCTGCGCGCCGCTGCGGCCGGGGGCCTCCGCAGCGCTGCCTTCCCTCAGGGGCTGGCCTTGCCAGCGCTTGACTTGCCTCCTTTGTTCTTCTTGGCGGCCTCCTCCTCCTCGCGAGCCTTCCTCCGTTGCTTCATCACCTCCATCTCCTTGCTCTTCTTCTCCGTCGCGTACTGCGCCAGCGACGGGTTGAGCGCCGCGCCGCGGCGCAGTCCTCCTGTCCTGTCGCGGCCCAGGTAGTGCTCGATCCCCATCCAACTGCAGCGTCCCGCTGGTCTCCTCCACCAGTTGGTACAGCCGCGCCAGCACCTCCACGCTGGCAAGGTTGCCGCCGTCGCGCTGGTCGTAGCGCACCGACAAGTCCAGCGCCAGCCCCACCAGGTCGTGCACCAAGAAGGCCGCGGAGTCGGGCGAGATGCGCTGCTCCATGGACCACTTCGTCTGCCGCGCGTCGAAGGTCCCGCCGTGGTCCCGCGCATCTGGAAGAGCCACAACGCCGACCTCTCGCCCTCCAGTGGAAAGTCATCCATTGGCTCAACCCGCATGCGAGAGACCGCCGCCGAGAACTCCGACCAGCGGCGCCCTCCTGGATCGTAGACCACCGGCGACAGCACGCGGGCGTCGGCCCCATCCCCAGCGCCGCGCACCTCCTGAGTGGCGGCCAGGCTGGAGGCGGGGCACGGGGTGACGACCTGGCCGTCGGGGAGCCTGTGGAGCGCCCTCTCGCCCATCACCTTGTCGCTGTCCATCAGCTCGATCTCGTCGCCGCGCTTGATGGTGCCTAGCGTCTCCATGGACACCCAGCGCGTCGAGCCCTTCGCGACCTCGGCATCTTCCAGGGCGGGAGGCGTCGCGGCGCCGCCCACCTCCTCACGCAAGAGCCCCCCATCGAGGTGGTCAGATGCGGGCCGATCTCCAGGCGGCCACCCAGCGGCACTGTCCCCGATGGCCGGGGGCGGCTCCGCAGGCGGCGGCACCGGCGGGCCCTTGCGGCGGCGGCGCACAGCAGCCTCAGCCACGGGCATCGGCTTGCGCTCCCCCAGGGAGTCCAGGTACAGCGTGTGAGCGGGCTTGTCGTAGCCCATCTCGACTGCCAGCTGACCAGCCTCCCGCAGGCGCGCCAACAAGTCCTCCTCCCCCAGGTACTCCTTGAAGCGGTTGGTTCGGCCCCGCAAGAAAACGGGCAGAACACCACTGTCCTCCAGCACCACGGCGCGGCACGGGCCGTGCTCAGGGCTGGAGCAGAGAATATTATCGACGTGCATGTCGTGGTCGGGCGTCTCTATCACCCAGTGCTGAGCATCCACTTGGCCTAGCAGCAATCTCTCATGCCACACGTTGTCGTCACTACAGAAGACGGCCACATAGCCGCCCGGGAGGAGCTCACTCCAGAACGCCTCCTCCCCGACGGCGCGGCCGCTGGCCAGTCGGAGGGCTGCCGTCCCTCTCCACTGCGGCACGCGCTGGCTCGGCTCCCCCGCGCTTGCCGCTATCCTCAGCGGTGGCCGGACGCGCCTGCTCGCCATCTCGGCGACGACGGGCACAGCACCTGCCAGCGCTCACCACCAGGATGTGGCCCAGGGCCGACCCCAGCACCTGCCAGGCGGGTTGCTGCGACAGCTCGTGCCCGTCGGCCGCCTTCTCCCCAACGCCCTCGCACCGGCACTCACAGGCCGGCGGCTCGGGGCAGGGCGGAGGCACCGGCACGCTCAGCCACTCGGGCGGCTGAGGGCACTGCTCCTCGCGGGCCGCGCCCGCCCCGGCAGCCGCGGCCGCGGCGGCGGCGATGGTGGCCGCCTCCGCGGCCTTGCGAGCGGCGCTCACCGCCGCCTCCATGCCGCTGGCGGCGCCCCAGCCAGCCTGGTGCAGGAAGGCCTGGTAGAGCAAGTCTGCGTGGCGCAGCAGCACGGCTCCCACGACGCCCACGGCGGCGTGCTGCGGCCGCAGCGCCAGTGCCATGCAACCCCGCGGCACCGGCCTCCCCTCCCTGAGAGGAAAAGCTGCAAGCGAAAACCCTCACTCACTTCCTTAATCCCATGCTAAAGCAAACCCAGGAGCAGGAGGAGGAGGCGAGGAGGGAGGAGGAGGAGGAGGAGGCGGAGGCGGAGGCGGAGGAGGACGAGGAGGAGGAGAAGGAGGAGGAGGAGGAGGAGGAGGAGGAGGAGGAGGAGGAGGAGGACGGGGAGCAAGAGAAGGTAGAAAGAGAAGGATAAGGAGGCAGCCAGAGGAGGAGCACGAGGAGGAAGAGGACGAGGAGAGGAGAGGGCGATGGTCGGAGCTTGAACCGAATGTGCGGGCACTGCTGGCAGCCTGCACCGCGTGCACCGCGCGGTACAGCATGAGGGCCGCGGTGACGGCCATGGGGCAGATGTCCACCAGGAAGCCCGCCAACGACGTAGTGGCGTGGAACGAGCAAGAGCCTACGCCCACTCCGCACATCATGAGGCCGTACGCCTCATGGGGGAGGAGAAGGAGGTGGCAGAGCAGCAGTGAGGGGCGCGAGGGACAAGGACTCGACGGAGTATGAGGAGAAGAAAGCGTAAAGAAACGTGATAAGTGATGATGGTGATGAGGAGGAAGAGGAGGAACATGACAAGGAGGAGCAGGATTAAGAGGAGTGGCAATATCGGGAGTGAGGATAATGAAGTGGCAACAACGAACATAACCAACGAAGGGGATCATTGAGGATGCGGGTGACATAAAAGGCCACACAAAGATACCATCGTACGCCTGCGCAACGCAAACAGGTCAGCAGAAATAGGGGTAACGACCCTATGTGCAGGGAGAATCTGGAGACGGACAACTACTCTGAATATTGGGGGAGATACGAGGTGACACGTAGAAAGTGTTGGTTCTTGGGTGGGGGCGGGGCATGGGGCCAGGACAAGGAGGGACCGAGAGGGGGGATGATGATGGTGATGGCGACGGCGATGATGCAGATTATATCGATGATAATGATGATACTGGTGATGCTGCTGCTGATGATGATGATGATGATGATGATGATGATGATGATGATGATGATGATGATGATGATGATGATGACGATGACGATGATGATGCTGATGATGATGATGATGCCGATGCTGATGCTGCTGATGTTAATGCTGCTGCTGGTAATGATGATGGTGATGCTGATGATGATGGTGGTGATGCTGAGGAGGAGGAGGAGGAGGAACATGACGACAACGGTGAAAGAGAGAGCGGGAGTGTGACGGGGAGGGAGGGGGAGTACATCAGAGGGGAGGAGTAGGAGCAGGAGGAGCAGGAGGAGGAGGAGGATGCGGAGGAGGAGCAGCAGGAAGAGGATGAGGAGGAACATGCTACATATATATATATATATATATATATATATATACACACCTATACGACCACCCTTCGGGTGATAAGGAGGTTGTGGGGGGGGGGGAGAGGGGGGGGAACCAACATCTGACCCAATCGATCTCACTATCGATCTCACTCATCGGGACACCACGGGACACTTGTCGATCTCACTATCGATCCATCGATCTCACTCAACGGGACACCACGGGCCACCACGGGCCACCACGGGACACCTCTCGATCTCACAATCGGTCTCACTATCGATCTCACTCAACGGGACACCACGGGAGACCACGGACCACCACGGGACACCGCGGGACACCTTGAGACACCACATCGATCTCACTATCGATCTTACTGTCGATCTCACTATCGATCTCACTAAACGGGACACCACGGGACACCTCTCGATCTCACTATCGACCTCACTTCTTGGGACACCACGGGACACCTCGGGACACCACATCGATCTCAATATCGATCTCACTGTCGATCTCACTCAACGGGACACCACGGGACACCACGGGACACCTGTCGATCTCACTATCGACCTTTCTACCGATCTCACTATGGATCTCACTGTCGATCTCACTCAACGGGACACCAAGGGACACCACGGGACACCACATCTATCTCACTGTCGAAACCACTATCGATCTTACTCAACGGGACACCACGGGACACCACGGGACACCACGGGACACCACGGGACACCGCGGGACACCGCGGGACACCGCGGGACACCGCGAGCCACCGCCGGACGGGCGGGCGGGAGGGGGAGAATCATTTGTCTTGACTTCGCCCTCGCAACGGCGGACACCACGGGACACCACGGGTAGGGCCACCGCCGGACGGACGGACGGAGGAGAATCATTTGTCTTGACTTCGCCCTAGCAACGGCGGGTTCATTCCTCTCGCGCGCCCACGCAGCTTCGCCTCGCCCGCAAGCACAACACGAACAAAACTAGAAGGATAGAGAGAGAGAGAGAGAGAACACATAATAATAAAACAACGCGAGAGAGAGAGAGAGAGAGAGAGAAAGAGAGAGAAACAAAAAACGAGATAAAGCGAGATAATCAGAGAGAGGGAGAGAAAGAGAGAGAGAGAGAGAGAGAAAGAGGGCGCTACAGCGAGAGAATCAGAGAGAGATGGAGAGAAAAAGAAAGAGGGAATGGGACGGGGAAGGGAAACGTGAAGTTGGAGCGGAGGGGAGGAAACAACGGGCGGGGAAAGGCAGGGGCAAACGGTCGACGGGGGAAGGAGGAAGCGGAGGACGACAACAGGGATGACGATGATTGGGAGGAGTAACATTAGGACGAGGGGAGGAGGAGTAACATTAGGACGAGAGGAGGATGAGGAGGAGGATGAGGAGGAGGAGGTGTGCCCTGGCGATCGGCGTCTTCGCGCGCCACACCAGGGGGGCCCCCGCGGCGACGAACGAGAGAGCGCTCAGCGCATTGAGCCCCTGCAGCTCGTAGCCGCTCGCGAACGGGACCAGCCAGTCGCCTCCCTCGAAGGGCGTGGGAGGGGTGGAAGCCCGAGGAGGGGGATGAGAAAGACGGGGCGGGGGAGGGGGAAGAGAGGGAGAGGAGGATGCGGAGGAGGGGGAAGAGAGGGGTGTTGAGGAGGGGTGGGGGCAGATGAGAGGGATGAGGTGGAGAGTGACGGAGGAGAAGGAGGAGTGGACGACGAGGGGAAGGCGGACGAACTGAGGTGGAAGAACAGGGGGGAGAGATGAGGAGGGGTAACCGCGGAGGAGAAGGGAGGCAGCGGATGAGGCGCAAGCGGAGATACGGGCGTGAAAGAGAAAGGGGAAGAGGACAAGACCCGTCACCGCGCATGCGCGGTAGCGAACACCAGGATGCTGCCTGGCTGGCTCGTAAGGCCCCCCTGCTTATTCGTATAAGCCGGCCACCTGCTTGCAAGCCCTGTTGGCGCTCTCTTCACCGTCAAGACCCACAAGCCGGCGGGGGAGGTAAGCTTGCGAATTGTGCATAGTTGCGCTGGGCATTTGTATGCAGATATATCGAAAGTGTATAGCCTCCGAAAAAATCCTGTTGGCGCCCTGTTCGGTCTCTGGACGGCTCCCCGAGGGCCAACGACCACCCCAACGCGCTGGAACGTGCCCGAACACGGGCGCAGGAAGGCCCGCCCCGCCAAGGCACCCTGGGCATCGCTCGGACGTCCATTCCCTGTGTTTTTTTCGGTTTCGTGCGTGGTTTTTTCGCCAAATCATCAAGGATGCTCCTCGATGGTCCTCGCCGAAGGAAAAGTGCACACGTCCGAGCGATGCCGAGCACCACGAGGTCCCCAACAAGTCCCAAGAGGCCCCCTCACGGCCCCCCCCAAAACGCCCAACGAGACTGCCCGCGAGACCTTCCGAGGAAAGCAGCACTGCTTTTTGCTTCCAAGGCTTCCCAGCCTCGGCTCGGCCCAGGAAAGATGCAGCTTCAGATGACCAGGAGAAGCGCCCAAGACGGCTCCAGGAGGGAAGGGCCCCAGCGCAGCCCGATCATCACTCGAGCTCGCCGAAGAGGGCTCCAATATGGCCTCGCGTCCTGCCCGGGCGTCTCCGAGATGGTTCGGCCGCATCTCGTCGGGAGAGCGGCGCCCGAAGCTGCTCCGAGACCCCCGAGGGGCACCCTGAGGGCCCCCCTCGTCTTGCTCCTGCCGCCCCTCCCCTCCCCTCCCCTCCCCTCCCCTCCCCTCCCCTCCCCTCCCCCAAGAACACTCCAAGGTGGAGGAAGAGGGGAGAACGAGGCCGCGTTCCCCAACCCTCCCACAGCGCCTAGGAGCTGGGTGCGCCTGTTGCGCTGGGGAGGCTTAACGCAGGCAGCTGTAGAAGAGACTGAGGTGTCCCTCTCGGAGTCTTCTCTCCTCTCCTCTCCTCTCCTCTTGTCTCCTCTCGTCTCCTCTCGTCCCATCTCACCTCCTCCCTTCCTCCGCCCTGCTACAATACACTTCCTTCCCCTAATCGCCCCTCCGTTCTCGTCGATCCATCTCTCTCTCTCTCTCTCTTTTCTCTTTCTCTCTCTCTCTCTCTTTCTCTTCCTCTTTCTCTGTCTCTCCTTTTTGTTCTCTCTCTCTCTCTCTCTCTCTTTCTTTCTCTCTCTTTCTCTCTCCCTCTCCCTGATCCTCTCAGATCCACTGGGGAACAGGAGTAGCCGGAGGAGGAGGATGAGGAGGGCAAGACGACGAGGGGGATTCTCATCATTGCCCCCCTCCTTTCCCTCCTCCCCCCGCACCCCTCCCCATTATCCTCCCTGCTCCCCCTCCTCCTGCTCCTCCTCCTCCTCCTCCTTCCTCCTCCTCCTGCTTCCTCTTCCTCCTCCTCCTCCTCCTCCTCCTCCATCCTCCATCCTCCATCCTCCATCCTCCTCCTCCTCCTCCTCCTCCTCCTCCTCCTCCTCCTCCTCCTCCTCCTCCTCCTCCTCCTCCTCCTCCTCCTCCTCTACCTCCTCCCTCCTCCCCCCCCCGCAACGCCCCCCGCCCCCGGCAAGGCCCCCCCCGGCAAGGCCCCCGCTCCCCGCGAAGGGCCCCGCGCGCCCCTCCGCAGGCGTCGTCGTTCGCGAACCGCTGCGGGCCGTGGGCGGCCGGGTCTCCGCGGGGCCCCGCGGCGGGGCACGCCGCCGCCGGGGCGTCCTTGGCGGGATGAGAGAAGGAGGGGGAGGGGGTCCTCCTCCTCCTCCTCCTCCTCCTCCTCCTCCTCCTCCTCCTCCTCTTCACTCCTAGGGGAAGGGGGGGAGGGGGAGGAGGGGGAGTACGAGGACGAGGACGAGGACGAGGATGGTGATGGTGATGGTGATGCTGACGATGATGCTGATGCTGCTGCTGCTGCTGTTGCTGCTGCTGCTGCTGCTGCTGATGATGATGATGATGATGATGATGATGATGATGATGATGATGATGATGATGATGATGATGTTGATGCTGATGCTGATGCTGATGCTGATGCTGATGCTGATGCTGATGATGTTGCTGCTGATGCTGATGCTGATGCTGATGCTGATGATGCTGAGTATGCTGATGCTGATGGTGATATAATGATAATGCTGCTGCTGATGATGATGCTGATGTGGATAATGATGATGCTGCTGCTGATGAAGATGATGTGGATGATGACGATGGTGCTCATGATGCTGTTATGATGATGATGCTGAAGCTGATGATGATGTATATGATGATGCTGATGATTATGATAATGACGACGATGACGATTACGATGACGATGGTGATGGCGACGATGATTATGAAACATGATGCTGATGATGCTGACGCTGATGATGCTGATGATGATGCTGATGACGCTGATGCTGATATTGTTGATGATGGTGATGGTGGTGGTGAGGACGATGATGAACATGAACATGTCTTGTTGATGATGGTGATGATGCAGATGATGATAGTGATGCTAATACTGCTGATGCTGATCATGATGGTGGTGGTGGTGACGATGATGCTGATGCTTACTTATTATGCTGATGATGGCGCTGCTGCTGATGATGATACGGTTGACGATGGTGATGCTGATGATGAGTATGAGTATGAATATGATGATGCTGAGGGGGAGGAGGAAGAGGAGGAGAGTGAGGAGGAGGAGGAGGAGTAGGAGGAGGAGGAGGAGGGGAGGAGGGGGGGGGAGAAGCAGGAGGAGGAGGAAGAGGAGGAGAAAGAGGAGGGGGAGGGACAAGCTAGGTGCGCTCGCGTCATATCTGACGTCCTACCCCTCCCTCCCATCCGTTACCATGTCGCAGATCTCCTCCCTATTATCGGACGGCATAGCATTACATGGCATAGCATGGTGTTGAAGATTAACGCGGAGCATGACATAGCATGACCTGGTGACGCCCTAAAATGAGGGGGGGCGCTTCTGCGGCCCATCAAATCAAATAATCGGCACCGAATGTATAATCATTTCCGATGGTTTCTTCGGGAGGCCATCTTTTAGATTTGGGGAAGGACCGAAAACCACATGGCGCTGGAAATAATGACGCCAACGCTGCAGCGGGAACACTATTCGGAACGACCGGAAGCACGGAAATGAGGCCAGCGCTGCAGCGGGAGCGCGACTCGGAACGAGCGGTAGCCCGAAAATGAGGCCAGCGCTTCAGCGAGAGCAGCATTTCGAAAAAAAGTAATCGCGGAAGCGCGGGAATGAGGACGCATAGCCTGACATAGCATGGCGACGCCTCAAAGTGGGGGGGCTTCTGCGGCTCAAAAAACCAACGAATCGGCACAGAAAGTGTAATCACTTCCGATTGTTTTTTCGGGGGGGGGGGGGCAAGTTCTAGATTTTTGGGCCTATCTGAAGGATCGAAAACCATGCCGTGGCATGGCGCTGGAAATATTGGTGCCAACGATGTAGGGGGAGCACGATTCGGAACGAGCGGTTTCCGGGAATCCTGTGTAAAAAACCATACGCGGAAGGGGGGGCGGCCATTTCCCGAACGCCACCAGGGGAGAGAGGAGAGTAGTACTCATAGTGTGGAATTGTGGAGGAGGGGGAGGAAGAGAGGAGGAGGAGGAGGTGGAGGAGGAGAGGGGGAGGAGGAGGAGGAGGAGGAGGGAGAGAGGAGATGAGGAGGAGAGGAGGAGGAGGAGGAGGAGGAGGAGGAGGAGGAGGAGGAGGAGGAGGAGGGGAGGAGGAGGAGGAGGAGGAGGAGGAGGAAGAGAGGAGGAGGAGGAGGAGGAGGGGGAGGTGGAGGAGGAGGATGGGGAGGAGGACTGGACGAGGATGTGGGGGGGGCAGCAGCAAGTGGAGCAGCGCGGGTCCATCGTCGGAGCAAGTTCTCTAAAAGGGTGGTGGGGGCACGCCCTCTGCGGCAGTGCAAGGACCCCTTGAGCCGGAACGAGGGCGGGGGGATGCAGCGGCGGGGAGGAGGGAGGAGGATCAAAGGGCATGCAGGAGGGCGGATGGGAGGGGCACTGGGCAGCGAGGAGGCGCCCCCGCCGCTGCGCGCGGCCCGCCCCCGGTTTTTTTCGCCTCCCCGGTCTGCCTTGTGGCAGCCTCCGCCTGCCTCCTGTGAAGACGAAACCAAGACGACGATAACGTCGGGTGAGGATAAACTGCTGCTCCACCGCGTCCGCCGCCTCCTCCTCCTCCTCCTCCCGGCCCCTCCTCCTCCTCCTCCTCCTCCTCCTCCTCCTCCTCCAGCCTCCTCGTCCTCGTCGTCGTCGTCGTCGTCTTCGTCCTCGTCTTCGTCCTCGTCGTCGTCGTCGTCGTCGTCGTCTTCAGGGTCGACGGAACTGGCCGTAAGGCCTTCACAGTCGTTGACCTCTGGGATCCGTCGGCCCTGGAGGGGCGCCGCGGCCCTCTCGGAGCTCTCCAGAACGCTCTGGAACGGATCGGAGCGCTCTGGATCGCTCCGACCCGTTCCCTCCTCCTCCTCCTCCTCCTCCTCCGCCTCCTCCTCCTCCTCCTCCGCCTCCTGCTCCTCCTCCTCCTCGCGCTTGACTTTCTCTGTCTCCTCCTCCTGCCCTCTTCTTCCTCCTCCTCCTCCTCCTCCTAAATCCGCCACCGTGCCGCTGGGCATGGAGTGGGCGTGTCCTCGGGTCCGTTGCCTCATCCCTTAAGCCCCAGTCTTGTCCTGAGGAGTTCATTAGGGGCCCTGGGCCTGACACGGTTCCCCTGGGCTCCTGGGCATCTTCTTGCATTACATTGTGGCCCAAGAGGGTCCCAGGACATGGGCCAAGAGGCCCCAAGAGGCCCCCAAGACGGCCCTAAAGGGCCCCAAGTCACCGAACGACTGGTCCAAGACGCCCAAGTTCGAGACACCCGAAGGGAGACCCAAGAGCCTTCCAAAGAATGTCTCGAGAGGCCAAACCCGTTGACTTCCAATACACGTTTCGAAAGTATTGTTCTCCACTTTTCCAAGTTCCGACGCTCTAAGATGCCTCAAGAGGCTTCAAGACCGCCACAGTACGCCCGCAAGAGGGCCCCAAGACGGCTCAAGAGGGCCACAAGACGGCCCAAGGGGCGCCCAAGACTGCCCAAGAGGACCCTAAGATGGCCTCAAGAGGGGGAGCACGTACCGAAAACCCGAACCTTCCGCCATAGAAGGCGTTCAGGAGACTGCAAGATGCTCCCAAGAAGCCCCAAGAGGCCCCCGAGAAGCCCCAAAGACGCTCCAATAGGCTCCCAAACAGGCCCCCCAGAGGCATCAAAACTGCCTGCATGAGGCCCCCGAGAGGCCTCGACGAGATCTCAACGATCATCCAAGAGGACTCAGACCTACAACCCAAGCACGGTGGCAGGATGGGCCGAAGGCCATTCGATGCCCTCCCTCTCGTCATCCTGGTCGTTCCCTTCCGTTTCTTTTTGCTGATGGTGATGACGATGCCGATGGTGATGGTGATGAGGATGAGGATGCTGCTGCTGCTGATGATGATGATGATGATGATGAGGATGACGATGGTAAGGGTAATGAAAGTATGAGGATGAGGATGCTGCTGCTACTGCTGATGATGATGCTGATGCTGCTGCTGCTGATGGTGTTCATGCTGATGATGATGATGATGATGATGCTGCGGATGATGATGAGAAGGATGAGGACGAAAGATAAACGAGGGTGGACGACCGGATACAATGGGACGATGGATAAGGCAGAGAAGAAGATACGCAACGGGAAGGAGAGGAATCTAACGGGAGGATGTGACGAACTCAATGGTGACAAGGGGGAAGAGAACGCGGAGGAGGAGGAGGAGGAGGAGGAGGAAAAGGAGGATGAACCCGATGACGAGGAAGAGGGGGACAGGGAGGATCATGCGGTGGAGGAAGAGGGTGGGGACCTTTCGGAACTCCTGACCAGGCACGGGAGGTCGTGCGATGGACTGGGGTGGCGGCGGGCGGGACGGGAGGGGGGCGAGGAGAGCACCCCCCCCCGCACGGTGGAACCCAAGCCACCGACGGGGCCTGGGCCTGGCCCCCACCGCACCGCAGCAGCCGATCGACCAGCCACCCCAACAGCGGGGGTGGGGCTGGGGAGGGGGGAGGGGGGGGGGGGGCTGGGGCGTGTGGGTCACTTTACAACCAGAAGCGCACTTTACAACCAGATGGGTCACTTTACAACCAGCTTATAAAATCCAAGAAGGGCACTTTACAACCAGGAAGGGCACTTTACAACCAGGCAAGTAAAAACACATATTGAATGCACGCGTGCCTTTCCCTGAAATCTCCGTGGGCAAGCGCAAGGGTGGCTTTGGGCTCTTTGAGGCATGTTGGTTGTAAAGTTGCCCATCGCGCACGAAGAAGCACTGCGCGCGAGTTGGCGATGCGGCGACCTGGTGCGCTATGGCATGTTGCGTGCTGGTGGGCGGATTCGAGTTTTGACCTGCTCTCTAAGCTCTGTCGGTCAGTTCTGCCATTGCTTGCTCTGCCTTTTTCTGACGGGCGAAGGCTAGTCGCGCAGGACATACGAATAAACCATGATCCCGTCCAAGACTGGAGCTGCATGGCAGTGGAAAGCTGTAGTGGGAGATGTGGTGGAAGCGGGGGCTACAATGGGAACTGCATGGTGTTGGGAAGCTGCGGTGGCAACTGTGGTGGTCGCCAGGCAACGGTGGGAACTGTGGTGGTAGCTGGGCTGCAATGGGATTTGCGGTAGTAGCGGGGGGTCAGTCGGAATTGTGGAGGTAGCGGGGCT